TTTAGTAAATAAATCCCTGCTTTGGCTCTGGGGAAGCGAAGCACGTGTGGACTTACACAGTAGTTGGCAGCGTGCAGGAGAGGGTAACACTGACSACCTTAGTTCAGAAGTCCACAGCACCTCCTTTTTCATGGTTTGGCTTTTTCTCAATAGGCYAACAAAGTTTCATTGCCCTTTAAGCCAACGTAAGAGAAAACAAATGCCCGAACCATCTGTCTAGACATAGTCTGTTTCAGAACTCAGTTGTCTCTACAACTGGATCGGTCGGTGTTCACGTGTTCACATATTGAACATTGGTGAACACACAGGTCTCACATCTGGTTCAGCCTCTTAACATCTCAATTGTCCAAAGGACCATAAGATTAGTGGATAAATGTTCCTTTTTGTGTATTCCATYGTATTTGTGGAAAATTGATATTATGTGATAAGACTCTGTTCCTGAGGGTAGAGAGTCTTCAGTWGTACTGATAACTAGCTTCCTATCAGTTATGCTGATAACAAGGAAACCTGCACTGATTTCTTTGAACATTCCCCTTAAAATTTTTTACTTTCAATTATGGGGAAATAATCATTAATGGATGAAGATGAAGATCTGGTTTCACTGCTAAATGAGGTAACAAGGTTCCTTGTCCTGTAGTACTTATACCATAGAAGAGACTGTCAACAACACATAAGCAACAAATCATAAGGTCCAAAGGGGAMAAATATAAATGAACTAAACGGGGTGAAGTGCAGGATGACTGGGCAGTGTCATAGGTAGAGGGCTAGTTGATATTGGGTGTCGGCGAAGGAGGACCTCCTTACAGAGGTGATGTTTGAGCTGAGCCCGAGAGTCAGGAGAGGGCAGCCCTGTGAAATCATGGCTCAGAATGTTCCCAGGGAGGAACCAGCAAAGACAGCAGCCCTAAGACAGGAACAAGAGAGTGTCCCAGGAGTGAAGACACCGAGTGCCAGGAGATGATTCTGAGAGTGGACTGGGCCAGCTTACAAAGGTGCCCAGCTGCCATCCCAGAGCTTKGACCTTCCTCTTGGTCTGTGGGGAGTCACTTCAGCCATTGGAGCATCTACGCTGAGTGCATCATGTCCTGTGCTTCTTAGTCACCCCCCTGGGTGTTTAATGGAGAACATTATAGGAGGTGAAGAATGAAACAGGAGACCAGATCAGAGGCTATCATGGTCACCACGCTGAAAATGCTGGTGGCTTTGATAGGGTGCTTATGGGGAAGATGAGCAGAAGCAGATCTATTTAGGGAATAGAACCCACAGATGCCTCACATGGCTATGATGTTGGCAATGAAATATCATTCCATTTGCATGCACGAGAGCTTTTGGCTTGCATATCCTCTGTAGCTTGAGTAGATGACAGTCCTGTTCCCATTGAGATGAGAAAGCCAGGAGTAGGAGGGGAAGAGTTTTGTTTTGACTGTACTGAGGTGTGAATTAAATACCCGTGTGGAATTGTAAGAAGGCAGTTGGAAATATATTTGATATTGTTATATTTAAGTTAGCCTGTTTGTTTTGGACCAGTACCAGCTTTAGCCTAATAAACTTCAGACACTCATTTTATTTTTCACTGAACATTGCTTTTGCTATAGGCAACTCAATTTAATACTGGCAATTAAAACTGATAATGTTTGCCTCTTGCTGCTTGTGTCTTCCTTTCTATTCCTCTGAACTCCTTCATTAGATGATCAGAAATCCCAAGGCAAGGAAACTTGGCATTGATTTCTTTGAACATTCCCCTTAAAAATTTCTATTTTCAGTTATAGGGAGAAAATCATATCATTGGACGAAAGTGAAGGAGATCTGGGTTTTYCCTGGAATAGTTAGAGATATTACAGACTGTCCTTTCTACCCTCTGAAGCCACTTGTATTCAATATATGTTTTATCTTATTTTTATTTTTTAATTTTTTAAATATTTTTAATGCCTTCATTTTTATTTATTTATATATAGTACTAAGGATCGAACCCAGGGCTTTACACTTGGTAGGCGAGTGCTCTAACTCTGAGCCACAACCCCAGCCTTCTTAGTTATTTTTAACTAGCTGTAAATGTGTTGGGACAGGGGAGGATGTGAAGTGGGTATGTTAGTGCTCTTGATGAAAATTGTCTTGAACTCCTCTGCCAGAATAAACATTTAGGTCATTTATCTACCTACATGAACATAGTTTTGCAAGTTTCTTATCACAGGTTCTAATTTTAAAAGCATTTTAAAATTAAAAGGAGCATATCTAGTGTTATTGCACCTACTGTGAATCATGCAGGTTCTGTTTATAAAAGAGGAGAGTAAACGGGTGTGGAGGGGAATAATGGCATAAACTAGTAATGGAGGTAGATAGGTTGTTATTACTTTGGGGCTCAAACTAAATAAAAGAGTTTCTTCTTTCTGGACTCCAATTACATACCTCGGTGCTGTTTGGAAAGAGTTGCCCAGCTTTTCTGTGCTGGGGAGGGAGGACTGTCTCTCATCTGCTAGAACCCAGGAACCATGACACCTCTTCCATAGAAAGAAACAGGTCAAGCCACTGTCCTGCTCTTGTGTCTCTCACTGCACCATGAGGCCCAGGGAGACAGCCACAGGCTGTCTGGGATTCTGGCGTGGGAGACCCAGCAAGCCAGGACAACTCATCAGCCCTCCTGAATGTGTTGTTTTTGGTGATCTCCGCCAGGCATTGGAGTCTCTTATATTAGAAGTGTTGAAAGCTGCCATCTTGATGATCACATTGATTCCCAAGGATGGCTTTCTGGAAGTAGTGGGGCAACAAGAGACTTTAACATCCAGGGGAGAATGTTTCTGAATGGGAACGAGAAAGGTGTTCCAGAGGTCAGAGGCAACAAACCAAAAACTGTGAAGTCCAAAGTGAGACTCCTGGATGAAATAGGGATCGATGACAAGTTGGTGAACGAGTGTGGTAAGCCAGTGACTTCTGAAGTTACATTTGGCCAGACAAGCTTCATTTGTCTGTGGTCAGAGGATGCAGGAGACACTTGGCACCACTGCCTGTTGCTGGAATGACGGAGTCCCACCGAGCAGCACTGTGCTAGAAAAAGGGTAGGATCCAACAGGTCTCTGTCTGCTCATAATTTCCCCAGACATTCCTATTGCTGCACATCAGTGACTRCTCAACATCTGGTTTTTTCACTATTGCATAAAGTTTCATTTTAGTTTCTGACAGTGTGTATTTCAGATTTTCCAAATGCTTCACATTCTTTCTCCTTTGCAAGCAGCTTGAAAGGGCAGGTTGCCTATTTCTAGGGGGCGATGGTTCCATTGGGCCTTCATGATAGATGAAGAAAACAGAGAGCTTTTGTTTTATATGGTGAGATACATATGGTGACCCAGGACTAAAAAGAACTACAGGGATGAGCCTAGATTAAGACCCCCCCCCCCCAAATAAATCATTTTTCAAGATTTTGCTTTCATTTTTCTGAACAGCTAAGTATCTGAAAGAATTCAATGAGTTTGCCRTGAGTATGCTTGCATCCTCAGAATAAAATAAGGATCAAAGGGAAGGATTAACCAAAGCAGAGAAGCTATTAGCAATCCGATAACTTAAAGACATTTATTAGTTTTTAAAATATTTTTAAATGACAGATTGTTACAGGGGTTGGAACAGTTTTTAAATGTATTTAAGGAGCATGTAGACCAATGTCACCAATCCTATGAACCAACAGTTGATATCAACATTAATTTTCTGTACAAGATCTCATTTGGATTGAATTCAATATGCTTTCAACATACATATATGTGCGTGTGTGAGCACAATTTGCATATGTTCATATAAGTATAGATTGAGCATCACTAATCTGAAAATCTGAAATCTCCAAAATACAAAAACTGTGGAGCACCAACCTCACTACACAACTGGAAAATTCCATACCTAACTTCATGTAATACATCACAGTCAAAACACAGGTGCACTAAAAATATTGTATAAAATTACTTCAGGCCATATGTATAGGGTACATATGAATCATAAATGAATTTTTGTTTAGATTTAGGTCTCTTCCAAAGATATCTCATTATGTATATGCAACTATTACTACACCCCCCCAAAAATCTGAAATCTGAAACACTTATGGTCCCAAGCATTTCTGATAAGGGATACTAACAAATAGTATATGATTGGGGCTGGGGTTGTGGCTCAGCAGTAGAGCACTTGCATAGCACATGTGAGGCCCTGGGTTCAATCCTCAGCACCACGTATAAATAAATAAAACAAAGATATTGTGTATAACTACAACTAAAAAATAAACATTTTTTAAAAATAGTGTATGATTACCTATATTCATTATGTAACTGCTAGGTGTTGTGCTGACACCTATTTCCATAAATATCTCATTTAACCCTAACAGCCAACCTAGAAATACCAATCCTTATTCCCATGTTAAGGGCAAGGAAACAGATTTGTACGCATTACATGACTCATAAGTTACAGATGGCAGAACTAGGCTCAAACTAGTTGAAGTCTCCTGAGGCCAAGACATGATCTTTCTTCTTTTATTAATTAGTTGCTATGAAAAATAAAAGGAGTCAGACTAAAGCCACTGTGTACCTACAGAGTAGCATRTAGGTCTCAGGAAGAAGCAGTTTCAAACAGGACCCTGGTCAGGAAATTCAGTAATCACACTTGCTGGGCTGTCCAATGTCAAAGCCACTAGCCCCACGTGGCTATATAAATTTAATTAGAATTCAGTGAAATTAAAAATTCAGGTCCTCTGTCACCACCAGCTGCATTCAAACACACCATCGCCACCTGTGGCCAGTGGTTCCATATTGGGTGGCACAAACAGAACATTTCCACTATCACAGAAAGTTCTGTTGGACAGCACTGCCAGCCAGAGACTGGTCCAGTCCACAGGAGCTTTTCCTTCTGAGATGAGCCGTGAGGGCTCTTGCTGAGCGATGGATATTTGGCGAGACGTGACAGCTCTGTTCTCCGGGTCGGTGCCACATGTCTGTGAGCGTCCTTCAYGCGTGTTCACTTTTTCTTCGAAGGAGGAAGTTGGTCGGATATGGAAGATGGAGCTGCTCAAAGAATCAGATGGGCTGGGAATTCAGGTTAGTGGAGGCCGAGGATCAAAGCGCTCACCTCACGCTATCGTTGTCACTCAAGTGAAGGAAGGAGGTGCCGCTCACAGGTGACTAGATAACTCTCCCCTGTCTCTCTGTCTCCTGTCCTCCCCTCCCCTTTCCTGGTGCTTGTCCTCTTCCGGTCGGTCAAAGTCCTAATAATTATAGTTTATAAAGATCCTGTGGGTGCATGGGAGGAAATCAGGCAAGAACAGTGCTAATCGCACGTCTCTGAGCACAGGAAGTGGCTAATTGGTGAGGAGAGTGCAGGATTTTCCAAACCACGGAGGCAAGGTTGGGTTTCTTTCTACACCAGATGTAGTTTCAAGCAGATGTTATTGATCCTACTTCTTGGAGGCTGGTACTATGGAATATGTGGTGACTTATCAAGAATATGCTGGTAAGCAGAACACCACATCCCTGACGTCTTAACTCCCTGAGACTGTGACTGATGACTCAGGAAAGCGATTCATTTCCACTGTGACCACAGTTCATGCACTAGGGCTTCCCTTGTCGAGTCAATCAGGATTTCACACACACTTAATGCACATGTGTCTGTTGGGCAGATGTGGAAGGGAAAGAAATAAATGTGAATTCCTTTCCATGTGACCTGAAAACAGTTCATGATTAAAAGCTTATTTTTTAATCTGAACAATCATCGGACATAAGAAGAARCATTGGCTAGAGCGTGTGCAAAAAAAGGAGGTCAATTTGAGTGTGAGGGATGCAGCTCGACCAAAATATCAGGCATGTTCTTTGCCCTGCTAATTGCCTCCATTCATGTAGRGTGCCTACTATCTTCGAGGCATGGTGGGGTGGGTGCAGGTGCTACCTTCCCACATGTGCACAGTAAGAATGTAAAGAGAAAGTCACTGATGAGGGAGGAGATTGTCTTTTATCTAGTCTGGAATTGTTCAGTCCAGGTACCCTGATTCTAAGGGGGATATGACCAGAGCAGGATCAGCCTGCCCGAGAATGAGAGGGAACCAAGTATGTCTCATGAGCTCTAGTTGAAGGAGCTAGAGGCATTTAGTCTGAGAATGCAAAATTAAGAAGAGGACCAGGAAACAGTAGCAAAACATTTCCTGCTTCTCAATCCTCTTAGAGAGGAAGAAGCTAATAACTAAAGTAGAGAAAGGTTAGCTACAACTGTCAGTTATCTGGGTGACAGGAATTATTAAAAGATTAAAACCTGAGATGGTTTTAAACCAAGTGAGCATYATCAGACTTCCCAATGACACATGCTTTAATGAACTCCCACCAGGTAGCCATTTTCCCACAAATCCTAAGCTTAGGTTCTAGTCTATCTTTGGCAAGTTGGCAATTAGGAAATTCCTGTGCCCAGAGATAAGCTTTGCATGGAACTGTGTTTTGTCTATTTCCCACCGGAATCCCTTCTAATGGCTCTCATCATTTTCCGTTCATTCTCAGCATGGAGTTGTATGTCTAGCTTTGCTCCGGGGTGTTGACTCCCAAGTGGAACATTCTGGCTAATAACAGGAGAAGAGAGAAATGAAATTAGAGTGAAATAGGAAAGGGGCTGGGCTGAGGCTGGTCTTGTGGGTATTATAGATAAGCAAGACCAGGGCACTGGCCAGAGCCCTTGGATTCTTTTATACCAGAATCCTTCTTCTCGGGATCACCTCGGGAGTCCACCCACACTCCTAGTCTTGAGATTCTTAGGGGTTTTCTTCCTCCATGATTTTTCTATTCCCTTCTTCTGCCTTTTCAAGCAACCAGAGGTGCCCTTAGCATTTCTATGCTTCAGGGATATTTTTCCCCCCTGGGTTGCTGGGGATTGAACTCAGGGCCTTGCACATGCAAGGCAGGCACTCTACCAACTGAGCTCTATCTTCAGCCCATGCTTCGGGGATTTTTAAAGGACAGCAAATAAGGCTGTCAGATGTYTGTGCTGCCTCCTGTCTTCTGTTAAAGCCTGAATCTATAAAAATAAAAAGATTATGATGTATGTCCTAAAGGAAGGAGACAGAGAGAAACAGCTGAAGACAAAAGGTAAGGATGAAAGGAGAGATGTTGGTTAAAAGAAAGCGAGAGAGAGAGAGAGAGAGACAGACAGACACACACACACACACACACACACACACTAGACTAGAGAGAATAGTGTTGGCTGGATCTGCCCACAGCAGCCCCTGGGTGCCTCTTTGGAGGGCACTATAACCCTAGGTGAGGGTTTGTTCACCTTATCAGACTTGAAGCCATCTGTGGCTCCTTTGGGATTTCAGGATACCAGACCATTGGAGGCCCAGGTGGAACCCATGGAAGAGGCCTGCCCAGGGTTCTGGCACAGTGTGCCACTGAGAGCCCTGAGTCCCAAGGAGACAATTTCCAGGGACAGCAGAGGTTCCTTCCAGCCCACCAGGAAGAAWGCTCTGGATCACCCATAGTTTAATTGAAAGGAAATCAAGAATCAGAAAGTGTTTGTACACCCATGTTTACAGGCCAGGTGTGCTACCTACCATAGCAAATTAGAGTTTATTATTTTGATTTACCCTTCTCCTTAGGAAGCTTGGTTGTAAGGATCCAATGATTAAAAACAAAAGTGTGGAAAGATTTCCCCCCCAAGGTCCTGTAACCTTGTTGGGGGTGGGGGGAAGGCAGAGACCACAGAGTGTGGTGGTCACAGGTTCCCCAGAGGAGACCTGGTGAGGGTCCTGTCATCTGGGAAGAGAAGGGGCTGTGGGTCAGGGAAGGCTGTGATGGGCTTAGGATACCCTGGCTGGCCCTGGACTGAGCTCAGTGACGGGGTTGTGGGGACAAGATGACAGGATTAGAAAGAGGATGACCTGACTTCCCCAAAACCCCGGGGTCTGGGTTTCTCTGTCCCCCTCCCCACCTAGTTGGGTGCTTCATGGACACCGATGCCAATCATGGGGGAAAGCCGAAATCCTAGAAATTTTCCCTCCTCTAGTGGGAATCTGGACTCAAAAGACAAGGCTCTTCCATCCCAGACTGTCTTTGGTTGTCACCGCTTCCTCTGTAGCCCGACTTTAACTGTCCCTTCTCAYGACCTCCCCTTGCTCCTGGAGAATGACCCTTCTCAGGCCCAGGACATCTTGATGAGGGATTTTTTTTTTTTTCATCTCCATTTCCTCAGGGATGGCAGACTGTCCTTAGGAGATGAGCTGCTGGTAATCAATGGTCACTTACTGGTCGGGCTCTCCCATGAGGAAGCTGTGGCCATTCTTCGTTCAGCCACCGGAATGGTGCAGCTGGTCGTGGCCAGCAAGGTAGGTAGTTTTGTTCAGTTTTTGAAAAAACTTTGAATGGTGGTGTTGGGTTTGGCGTCGAGCCCTCCCCCTGCCACACCCGGGTGCGGATGTGCCTGCACACACTGACCCTGGGCCCTGATCCACAGGGCAAGCCAACGTGGAGGCCCTCCTTAGCTGAAGTACATTCTATTCGTTTTGCTTTTCTTTGAGAGTCTTTAAAGTTACATGTTGCAGGGTGAAAAGATAATAATAGAACTAAGGAAGAGGTAAGAACAGTAGGGTGGAAGGAAGGACGGTGTGGAGGGAGAAGCAGTTCTCCCAGGAGAAACCAGAAATGGGATATGGAAACCTGGACGGCAGGGAAGAGGGAGTTGGGGGATTGTATCTTCAAGTTCAGAAGGAAAAGAGGACACAGGGTCCTCCATGGGCAGGCCAGGGGCCTGCTCCTTCAGGCCTCCCTGGGGGAAGCCTTGGGGGGTCTTTTGCTCCCTCCACCCTGTGCCTTTCCTTCCTCCCAGTTCTACAGATGAAGAGTGAGGCTTCCATTTGGCAGGGGCCGTGATGCCATCAGCATCTGGCCATCAGCAGGCCCCCAACCCTGGTCACTAGTCTTTAAGTGCTAGAGAAAGACTGCAGGCTCCACAACTCTGATGAGAAAGGGAGGCACTGACCTCTCTCCTTCCTGTCACCTGATTGTGCTGTTGGTGAGACTAGGAAAGAGTCTGTGTGAATGAGCAATTAGTGAATGGAGCCTGGGGACTTCCTTCTACTTCTGGCAGGGAGACTGGGTGTGAGGCCTTGTGTACCTTAGCCCCTTCTCACACTACACTGTTGCTGGTCAGGGTGATTCTTTTCCCATCATCCCTGTTGTTTTTGAACCTTGCATCTGAGGTTTATATATATATATATATTTTCCCAGTTAGATTCCAAGATTGATTGCTGATTAGAGGAATACAACTGGTGCCTCTTATCCATAAGTTCTGCATCTGCAGGAAGGACTAGTAACCTAGGGATTATTTGAAGTATGCGGGAGGATGTGTCGGTTATAGGCTATACACTATTTTATAAAGGGACTTGAGCATCCTTGGATTTTGGTATGGGGGAGCGTGTCCCAGAACCAATCCCCCAGAGGTACTGAAAGTCAACTGTATTTAACCAGTAGATTAGAAAAATACCTGGAGCTGTCTGAAAAAAAAATAATCTGCTTTTATTCCTTTACACTTTTTACCCCAGATCCTTGACTGGACTTTCAGGCTTCCAATATGCAGAGCCTTGGTGAAGGCTCTGTGGGAAATACAGACATCTGAGCCCCTGGAGGCAGGAGCTGAGCCCATTCTAGGTCCTTTCCTCCCCTTCCAGAAGTTCCCTGGGGTCCTCCAGGGTATCCTAAGTCCCTGGAGCTGCACACACAATGCCTGCCTGAGGGCTGTCTCTACCCCTCACTGGCGACAAGGAAGGACAGCGGTCCTAAGGATGTCCCCTGTCAGCCTGCCCAAGGCCCCTGGAGGGAAATGCTGCCCCAGAGGAGAAACCATTTCCTCATTTTGCCAGATCTACCAGAGCCCGAAAGCACAGCTCCCCTCCCCACAGCTGCAGCTCGAGAACCTGGGGTCCTGCCTGAGCTCTGTACCGTGTGTCACCAAGCCTTCATCTGGATGCTGCCTCATTTTTTTCAGCTAGCTTGGAAAATAAGGAAGGAGGGAGATCTTTTCTACATCAAGCTGTTATCCACAAACAAAAAATATATAATATTAAAACAAAAAGGGCCCCTCACCCACAGAGCTAATAATGAAGGGGGATCCACTGGGCTCTGAAAACTAGTTCCCAGGGGATGCCTGGTCTCTGATCTCACGCACCACCTTAAAGGAAGAGAGGACACTGCCAGGGGCTTCTCACCTAGTATCTATTATGTCCTTGGATTCTTAAGAGTACAAATCCCATGATACAGGTATGGGTTCTTTGTATTCAAAGGATGGAATTGAATCGCCAGTTAACTTGGGCGTGTGGTCATGCGGCAATAGACAGCAAACGCAGGGGTTATGCCGAGTCCTCCAKACTGCAAAGTTCATGCTACTTCTCATACTCCATGCTGCCCTTCAAGCAAATAAAATATAAAGGACCCCAGAGCCAATGGTACTAGGAAAAAACGTAATGTGTTCCTGCCAGAGGCATTGACTTTTAGGGACCCTTGCTGGGTTCTTGTAGGGCTGAGCAGTGTGCGGACAACAAGAATGGGTGTCCATTCCAGCTCTTGAGCATCCAGCCCAGATCCCAAAGGCGTGGTTGGGCCCCTTTTGCAATTAGACAATGAACGGCGGAGCTGCCACTGCTGCTGGTGTCTAACCTCGGCCTCCACCAGCCAAGGTGTTCATCCATTAGGGGGAAAAGAAGTGTCACTTTAGGCTCCTCTGGGCACCTGTTCCTCTTTTGTATCTAACAAGGGGAGATAATCCACAGACTTTGTTGTTGTCTTTATATTTGAATGAAGGAAGCTTCTAACTTGCTGAATAAAGAATAATAACAATGTAAAATGTCTTGCTGGACATGATGGCACACACCTATAATCCCAGCTACTCAGGACGCTGAGGCAGGAGGATGGCAACTTTAGAACCAGCCCGGGCAACTTAGAACCTGCCTCAAAAAGATAAAAAGGGCCAGGATGGGGGTCAGTGGTAGAGCTCCCATGGGTTCGATCCCTAGTACCAAATACACACACACACACACACACACACACACACACACACACACACACAGTAGATTCTTGTTATTCTAGGTAATAGTCACCTTGTCACAAAATTTTAAAGCATTGTTTGGGAAATACAGCTGTTACAGCAGAGAGGCTATCTCATGTTTCTCCACAAATAGGTTATATGTTTATAGTAAGAGCTTAGAAAGTCTTTGTTGAAGGAACTCAGAATTTCCAAGTTAGTTTTGCTATTTCTGGAAGCATCACATAGCAATACAGAACTCTCTCTCTCACTCTTTTTTTTTTAGTCCTGATTTTTATTACCAAGTAGTAGATTTTTATTATTTCTAATGTAGAAAACCCAGAAAAAAAAATAAAGAGAAGAAAAAGATGAAATTTTGATAATGTCACCAATGATATAATCCACTAAGTGGTGTGTCCTTCCAGCTGGGCACATTTCTTTTAAATGGAGTCAAACACAAGGAGACAGGGTTCAGTCTGGGGGCAGTCCCACCTAGAATTAAGTGCCAGCACAGCCCTTGAAAAGCCATGCTTCCTAGGCACATCCTTGCAACTCCAGGTCTCAGTTTTTTCTTCTATACAGTAAGAGTTAGTGACCACGTCACAGGGATGTCATGGAGACTGTAGGAGATGGAGAGGGCCCTGAGCAGTGGAGGAGCATTTGGCTTTGTGACTTTATTACCTCTAATTCATTATTACATGCCTCATTAATATCATGCTCATTACTGTCATTTTAATCGGCTCGTTCAAGGAGCAGGGTGCGGTAAGATCCTGCCTTTCCACCCAGGAGGTGATTTCTACAGCCCCCCGTTTTCATGGCTCTGGAGTGTTCCTTCCTGTGGCTACCGTGCCATTTACTCACCGATTGGCACCTTTTAAAAATTCTTCTCTTAGTCCAGCAAAGTTGACATCCCAGMAATTAASTCACCTTCTATTTAGTAACTTTTTCATTTCCGTGGTTAAGAACTACCAACATAATATTCACAAATTGCAAATCTACGATGAAAATTCTTTAGGTTCCTTAAAGGTGGAAGCAGCATCAAACAAGTAACAAATGCCACTGTCATTAGGTGTTCAAGCACTGTGGTTTGTGAAGTCCAGTGTTGAACGTGGGTGTTTTTTTGTTTTTTGTTTTTTCTTTGTCTTCTATTCTGTCAACCTCAAGGCATATGATGATGAAAACTTTCACTTGTTTCCTTCTCTGAAGAAGTGGCTGGTGTAGGAGGGAGGGTAAAGAGCACAGTTTCTCGCTGGCCTCTAAGCAGCTCTGCCACTGCACCCCTCCCTCCCTGGACCCCAGCCCCCCATTTGTGGCATTTCCCAGGAGGGCACCAGACTGCCACGTGTCCTCATTTGCAGTTGGCGTTTCCATGAGCACTTAACGATCTCACCTGCATCCCACAGCCTGCTTTGGCCTTCTCTGCACAGAGGAGCAGGGGGCTGGGCGGATGAAGCCTCTTGGAGTCTGATCTTGATGGAGTCTGATTCTCTGAATTGTTGTTGACCTTTAAAGGTTGTTCAAGGGCTGCTTTCATTGGAAAGACACTCTCCTGTCTCCAAGTTGGCATTTTGATTCAAGAAACAATCTAATCTTTCTCTAACGGGCAGATGCTGCTGAGATGGTAGCAGGGCAGGGAGGAGGGGGTCATAGATACTTGAGCTCTGTGCTAGGTCTGGGGACGTGGATGTGGGTAGAGATGGTGTTAGGTGGGAGGAACACTCATACAGGCAGGGCAAACAGGCAAGTGAAGTTAGACATACACACAGGGGAAAAAATAAATAATCCAGGCTATCAGAGAACACGCCTCCAGGATGATCCCAAAGGAGGAAGCTCAGGCTTCGCCCAAGCAGTGGTGGTCAGCGGAACTGGTTGGTGCCAGGGGATAATTCCTGGACCTTTCCTTGCATCCCCACAGGAAAGCTCTGCAGAGGACCTCCTCAGGTTGACCTCTAAGAGTCTGCCTGACTTGACCAGCTCGATAGAGGATGTGTCCTCATGGACCGACAATGAAGACCAGGAGCCAGACGGGGAAGAGGAGGAAGGGACCAGCTCATCCGCCATCCAAAGAGCAGTAAGTGTGACTCTAGTTTCTCCCAGGCTGCTCTTTTGGAATGGTTTCCCTGAAGACATGGGTGTCAGGATCAGAGGAGAAATACTTCAGAGACCGGGATAGACACCAGGAAGGGAAAGGACCTCAGTGCACTCTTTTTGATATTTTTCTCAGAATCTTCCGGAAACATCTGCGAGGGGAAGGCGTTTCATTTCAGAAAAAAAAAAAAAAAATTGAGACTCCAAACAAATCAGAATGCAACTGGCTATTGAGTTCAGTGCCTAGATCAGTGTCTAGGGTGCTTTGTGATATAAACAGGATTTTGTTGCTGCTGCTTCTCGATAGTGTTTGAAAACAAGTGTTCATGAATCTAAACTTAAGACGGCAAGCTTTCTGGTTCCGAGTGGAATGTTAGCACAAAGATCACTCAGACAGATTTGTGTAGAAGACAGCTTACCATTTTAACCAAGCCAGGATACCCCGCACAGCTTGGGGCTCTTCCTCACATGGCTGGTGTCACTTCACACCCTCACGTTCTGCACATGTCACCTGGTGTACACGAAGCTGTCAGAACAGCTTCTGGCTCCATGGTCTCCTCTTTGTATCCCAGATCTGAAAAATGTGTCATTTTTTTTTTGTGTGTGTGTGTATGTGTAAACTCTTCTTAGTCCTTTTTCTCATCCAACTAACCTTGGGGAAGGCACCCTCTTCTGCCATTTGGAACCTGTTATTCCTTCCTACCAGCTTTGAACCTAGGTAGCATAGATAGTGTTGGAAAATCAGCTTTGTTGATCATAAGGCCATCAAAGGCCAAAAAAAATGCATCTCATCTTATTTGCCATAACATGCCATATTACTTTAAGAAGAAAAAGATTTTCCTCTTTACTTTTGGTCCCTGGAGATCAGGGCCACTGAGTATGGTTTTACAGGTTGTAGGCTGCACAAAGGTATCACATCTCAGGAATCACGATTGCATCATAAAATTCAGAAGTTTTTATACCCTGTATTCTATAGAACCATGATTGATTTCAAACATTTTTCCAGCTGCTTTTCCCTCAAAGGAGGGAGCTTTCTCAGAAGACCAACCTGTAATAGCAGGCAAACCTGAACTTAACAAGTGGAGCCGAGGTTGACAGTTTGAAACAACTGTGTGCTGATTCCTATCTTTTTGCATTATGGCCATTTAGTGGCTTTCCTTTGACTTTTGGTAATAGTAGAGACTCAACTAATTTTCATGACCTATCATGCGCTCCATGATTGACCCCTGCTTGCTTCTCAGACCTCCCTGTAGACCAAACTGACCCTCAGTTCTATGCAACCACCACAATGCCCATTCCTGAGCCCCTCATGGTGATTACCCACTTTCATGCCACAGGACCTTTGCAAATGTTGTTCTGTCTCTATGGAATCCTCTTTGCATAACTGATTCATGATTATCTTTTGGGTCCCATAATGTTACTTTCTCAGAGAAACTTCCCAATACCCTTTTCCAATCCCTCAGCTCTAGCACCATGACCAAGCATGTGCCCTCCTGTGAGCTACTTATCACAGATCTGTTTGATGCCTGGGGGCAGGTCAGACTAAGGTATGTTTCTCCCACCCCATGGTGAGCTCCAGGAGGTGAGAAAGCATGATGACTGAGGCAGTGATCTGGTTGTTGAGTTATATGAAACAAAATWTAACAGCAAGGCTACTGCAGCAAGCCTGAGCAAAGCCAGCAGCTTGCAGCCCAGCAGCCCAGGTAGGGGATGGGGGATGGGGGTGCAGGTTTAAAATTTAAAAAGCAAAGCAAGCATTCACTGAATACCTGCCATTTTCTCAGCTCTGTGCTAAGCCCAGAAAATAATGAAAAATGACAACAAAATCCAACCAGATTTACCTACCATCAGTTTCATGGCTCTTCCCCTAGCCCACAGATGACCACAGCATGGCAGCCTCAAAGGGCCTCCGCTTCCTGTGCATGTCCCCATCCCATGGACCTCAGGGATGCTCCTGAAATAAGCCTTGAGCACGCCTAAGCATTGTGCCTTCTCCCCACCACCTTCTCCTCTACTGTCTACCTATTGTCAAGGCCAAGGTCATCCTGAGCTCTTCCTCCCTGCGACCTCCAGCCCCAGGCTCTGGGCTCTCTGCTCCTTGTGGTACAAGGTACAGCTTGTGGTACAAGAAGGAGCAAGGGCTGTGTCACCATACAGCTAGGGACTCCTTAACTCCCACCCAACTCCAGCACTCCACCTCTAGCCAGACGCCCTTCACTGCTGGCTCTGCCAGCCCCGCACTAGCCCAGGGAGTCCCCTTGCTCTCTCCCTCCCAATGCTCCCAGTCTGGACAGTTCACCCTGGCTGAGCAGCCATGGCTGGGGGCAGGTCAGCTAGATTTCCATGGAAAGCTCAGGCAGCTCAGGGTCTTCTCCAGAGGGGAGAGAGGACCTTGGCTGCACGTCTGATAAAGCCCCCAGCCTTGGTGTAGCACAAAGGCTCTTTGTGGGGAAGGTCACAGTCCCATAAATTTTTAAAACTTCATAAGTCATATTCTCTTGCAGAAAAACTCCAAGGAATTATTTAATTGTCTGGGAATTTTTTATACCAAATACTGCTTTAATAAATAACACATGGACTATGTTAAATATATTACATGTTGTATATTATAATTTAAATTATAATTTATGCTTACAATTTTTATAGATTTCTTTTGGGAAAGTTACACTAATGAACATGTAAAACAATGTGATTAATAGGTAAACTATTTTGTTGTTGTCGTCGTTGTTGTTGTTGTTTAAATATATTATTGATGATCTTGGGAACTGGCCACTTCTAGGAGTATAAGTATCACTATAGCTCAGTTGGTAGAGTGCTTGCCTTGCATGCACAAGGCCCTGGGTTTGATCCCCAGCACCACAAATAATAATAATAACAAGTATCATTTCTCTAGAGAAAGCCTTTGACTAAGAAATTCTGCTAGAGGAGAATTACATCAAAAATATGCACAGATATATACAGGCAAAGATATATATACATAGATATCTACATAGAGATGATAAATTTTCACAAATTTATTATGATAGATTTTGCTATGCCTTTCTAACTGAATTATTATAGCCCCAAAGGCCATCTATTTTTAATTAAACTTAGAAAACCATGCTTACAAAACAGGCTGTGATTTTAGTGATACAACCCTGAGCATGTCTCTTTATTAAAGCTTCTTCTGAAACCGTGGTTTATAATGGCTAATATTCCCTAACATGGAAGTGCCAAAATTTGTGTCACCAATTTACATCACTCACATGTATATTCAGTTTTTTTCAAAATGATAAAGACTCTGTATATCTTTGCTCATATATGCCAATGCATATTTTTTATGTTTTTTTTTTTCCTTAAATACCTTGTAGCAGAATTGCTTGATCCAAAGTTTTCTCCAGAGAGGTTATACTAACATGCATAGCAGTGGCCACTTCTATGATCACCAATAACATTGTCTTTAATTTAATTGTTTGTCAATTAATCACATTATTTTACACATTTATTATTTTATGTGCTTTTCCAGAGGAATTTCTGTGCATGCTGTCATACACATCTGGGATACAGCACTTTGTTTGCAAAGAGGAGAGAAACAATGAAACAATCTTTTTTGTGTGTGTGGTGCTTGGGATTGAACCCAGGGCCTTGTGCATGCAAGGCAAGCACTCTACCAACCGAGTTATGTCCCCAGCCCAAGAAACAATCCTACTTCAACAATCTCCCTTCTCTGGGCTCCTTTCCACTCTACCCCTCAGGAAACATTCACGGAGAAGGGTCCCAGTTTGTCCCCTGGACCTGGGCACCAACCATGTCTTAGCCACTCTGGCTTCACACCAAGAGAACCAGTCCTGAAGCAGAACTGTGGGCAGCCAGCCTCCCTGCTCCCTCCCAGGGTCTGCCCTGATGCGCCTTAGACGAGAGCTGAGCTGATGAAAAAAAATTCTTTGAGTTATGTGTTCACAATCTAAGACTCTTGTTTTGTAATTTTTAAAAACTAAAGAACCACTGAAATGAAAGAAATCTGGTACCATTTTAATCAACTAAGTCACAAAGGCCCTGATTCCACAGATGATGATGGCTAAACCTGCTGCCCAGGTCCACTCGGACACTGACTGCTTTTGCACCTGTCCGTTGCGCTGTGCTCCAAGTGCTTCCGATGAGCAAATGTGAGGTAAAGACTAGGGATCTGTTGTGAGTGTGCTTTGATTTACTTCCCATTGCTACAATAAACAGCAATGAGATTTTTCCTTTCAAAAAGCTTAGTATAAAACCATATGTTGAATATCAAGTTTGAAAAGTAAAAACTGGATCAAAAGAAACAGGAAAGGATGGTGGGAAAGACAGGCATTTGCACAATTGCTGTCCTGAATGGGGCTGGCTTCAGTGATAGGGCTCACTCTCCATCACCTGCCCCCAGTGTCACCGCCAGCGCATGCATGATTACAGTCTGTCAATTTTGGTCTCAGAAATCCCTAAGTCTAGACCCCTCCTCCACTCCACCTGAGCTCCTTGAACCCCAGATGGGTCTGTCTTCCTGGAATCTCTCATCTCCATCTCATCTTCTGCTCAGCCATAGTGTTTTAAATGAGAGTCTAGTTCTGTCGCTTAAGCAAGTAATATAATTGAGTAGCTCTCAATTACCCTGAAGTTAAAATCTCAACTCTTTAATGTAGAATACAGTCATCCCTCGGCAAGCATGAGCTCTGCATCAGCAGGTTCTACCAACCCCGGATGGAGAATAATTTGAGGGGAAAAATTGCACCTGTACAGAACATGGAGACTTTTCTTCTTGTCGTTGTTGCCTAAATAATATTACAACTATTTCCATAGCATCCACATGGTATTAGGCATTATAAGTTATCTAGAGGTAATTTAAAGTGTAGAGGAGAATATATATATATAGGTTTTATGCAAGCACGAAGACATTTATATAAGGGACTTCTACACCTTGAATTTTAGTATCCAATGGGTATCCTGTTACCAATCCCCAGCCTATGGCAAGGA